AAAAAAAAAAAAAAAAAAAAAACTTTAGCTCTGTACCTGGGGAAGAAGATACTCTCCACCACGTAGAAGTCTTGCATGAGGACATCCCGCTCTGGCTTGGTACTCAGACTCCCCACGGTGTGAGTAATGCCTAACTGGATGGCACCCTTCAAAGCTGATGAGGTTGTCTAAGAAAAAGAAGAAAAATGACAGGAAAGTTTCTAAATTAAGTCTGAGCAATAAAAACTCAGGAGAGAGGAGTCAGAAGGAAGACTTAGAAACAAAGCCCCTCACACTAAATTGGGGCAATTCCCACGCTTCACACTGCAATTAAGCCTGGAAACGGTTAGGTAGGAAAATGAGGATACAACGTAGTAAAGGTAGGACTGAGCCAACCTTGGCTAGGCAAAGCATTCCTTCCTTTTGGCCTACCTAGACAACAGCTCCCTGTTTGTATTTGGAAGATGCACTGTGTTCATCTTAGGTCTCACTTATAAACTTCTTGCTAGCAGAGTACCTTCCAGATTTTTAATTCATCTAATGTAGAACGTAACTAAAATTGACAAAGCTGGGTGTGGTGGCACACACCGGTAATCCCAGCACTCGGGAGGATGAGGCAGGAGGATCGCTGTGAGTTCAAGACCAGCCTGGGCCACATAGTGAGTTCCAGGTCAGTCTCAACTACATAGTGAGACCCCGTTTCAAAAAACCAAATAAATAAATAAATAAAAATTGACAAACATTCTTATTTAGCTATCTGGTTACAGAAGCGTTAGTCCTCTACAAAGAAAGGCCTTCTCCGGTACCAAAAAGATTAATAATAATAATAATAATAATAATAATAATAATAATAATAATAATAATAAAAAAGCAAGGCCTGATTAGTGTATCAAGGATAACAGACTACTGCCAGGGATTTAGCTCAGTGGAACCGTGCCTGCCTTGTAAGCATAAGGTCCCGAGTTTGATCCCCGGTACCAGAAGAAAAAAAAGTCCTCAAAAAAGGGGGCTAACAGAAGGCAAAAAGCTCTTAACTGAAAAAAGAAAGCATGAAAGACAAATTATTTGCTTCCTCGAGACAGGGTCTTTCTACTTAGTCCACTCTGACCTAGAATTTAGAATCCTCCTGCCTCAGACTCCCAAGGGCTAGGATTACAGGGATGCAAAACCAAGCCCAGCAACTTATATTATTTTTTTCTTTTTTTGGTGGTACTGAAAATTGAAGCAGTGGCCTGAGGTGGGATACTACTACATCCTATACTCAAAGCCCAGGTGTCTGAGGACACAACTCCACTCTCAGGGACATGCACACAACAGGCCACAGTTATCTGAGAATGACCTAACACTCAGCCGCGCAGGCACCAAATGGCGAGGCTGTGCACAGGTGTTCTGTCTCCCCCTGGCCTGGTAGGCAGATAAGACACTGTAACTCCTGCGCTAGAGAACACTGTGACCTTTCAGTAGCTTTGTTTTCTGTGTGTGCTCATAACTATGACTGTTCTGCTGAAGGAACACAGCAAGGCAGAGCTCTGGAGCTGCACCTTGTCCTTTATTGGGGATTAATTAACTCACTCATGAAGGGCTAAAAGGACTAAAACGAGCCCTCTCCAGGTGCCTCCTGGGGAAGCTCAGCCTTGCCCTCATCCCTTCACAGTGAGCTACATCCCCCAGGCCTTCTTTATCGATCTTACTCTTTATTTTGAGACAGGGTTTAAGTCACACATTGTCCAGGTGGGACTGACACTTGAAATCCTCCTGCTCAATCCTCCCAGAGGGCTGGGATTACAGCATGTGTCATCACACTGGGCTCAACTCAAATTATTTGAGAAAAGCATTCAAGAAATAGATAGGGGTCCACAGCCTGCCTTGAAAGCACAAGGTCCTAAAGTTCAATTCCCCACCCACCGGGGATGGTGTCAGAATTTAATTCAAGATTTAGAATCCCACACTCCTGTAATCCCAGCTCTTGGGAGGCCGAGGCAGAAGGTCCAGGCCAGCATGGATTATATAGTGAGTTCAAGGCCAACCTGAACTATAGAGCAAGATTCTGTCTCACAAAATCAAAA